GTCAGGCGAACAGCCACACCCCCTGGCACCCGGCAGCCTGTAATGGTTGGGGACCACTGACCTAGATCACAGCATGGCACTGAGGTTTCACTTTGATCAGAGCCTGACCAGGACGCTTGGGCTGGGAGGTGAAAGATGCCGGTGTGCTGGAGAAAGAGAAAAATCCAGCCGCCACACTCAGTTATACCTGTGACCTTAAAAGAACAAGGCACAAAATGTCTCTATCGGGGGGGTGTGTGTGTGTGTGTGTGTGTGTGTGTGTGTGTGTGTGTGTGTGTGTGTCTCTCTCTCTCTCTCTCTCTCTCTCTCTTACAATCTGTCCAGAACCAAAGGACACTCGCATTGCTCCCTCACTGCCTACTGCTGTAAGGGCCAGGGATACCCACAGTATCGGGCCCTGAAACATGCAGGGCACCATCGCAATTACAGGCCCACTTCCTTATTGCAACGTGACGGAGGCAGCCGGGCACGCGAGAGTTCAGGTTGCACCAGCAGGCGTCATGTAGCCAAATGTCGCGCACTGCGAGTTTGCTAGCCAGCGTTTGGCACACAACACGACGTACATGCCAGCAGCAAGAGGACATGGCGTAGAAACCAGAAAGCTGCAGACAGCGGTACTTAGCTGTTGGGACTGCGTTCTGCTAATGCAGTCTCACGTTCTGCTATCCAAATCCTCGAGTATTCAAACTCCCTAAACAAGGCCTCTAGTTGCCCTGCCTGGCGGGTTTTTGTAAGCACTCGGCTTGCCTGGAACTCTTTACCACGGTAGGTGCGAGGCTCTGCAGATCTTTAAAGCCAGGCCTGTTCCAGGTGCACAAGCGATTCAACAGCTAACTCACACAAAATTAACCTTTGGGCCCAGAAGGTGCATGGACAATTGCAGGCCCCAAAGCGAATTGCCCAGAGCGCACCGTTACCCCCAGGATGCCAACGGATGGGTGACGATGGGGCTGTCCCACGCCCCCCGGGGGACCCACGCCATCGCCCCAATGGCGTTTCGGCTACGTGTGGTCCTGGGAGGAAGTACCTTTGAGGAGTCCCACGGCAGCCTCCGGCGAGAGCATGAAGGAGTCGAGGGAGCGGGCGATCTCCAGAAGGCCGTTAAAGTGCTGCGCCATGTGATCCCGGCATACGGAGCAGATATTGTGGATGGCTTTGGCGGCGGCGGAGGCCAGTGACTTCTCACACAGCCCTTTCATCAAATAGCCCAGGACGGGGTCTGAGGGGGGAGAAAGCACAAGGAGCCGCTGGATTACGCCGGTGACTCGGAGACTGGCTGCACTGGCCTCGGAGGGGTCACACTTCCCGGAGGGCCAGGACCGAGCCGGGCTCCGGAGCTAGACTCACCCAGGAAATGAGGGTTTCTGTCCACGACTTCGCTCATTTCGCCCACCAGCTCTATGCTGGTGTAGCGCACAGCCGTGTGCACAGACTCAGGGAGGCGCACCACCCCCTCCAGCACCTCCACCAGCGTCGGGTTGTTCTCCCTGGGAAGAGAGGGCAGCCGTTACTCGGTATCTGGCGCAGTCTTACTCCCAACACTGACCCGACTGCCCGTCCCGTTCCTGCATTTACCCAGTGCACCCACTCTGTACTGGAAGGGCGAACGTACCGGATACACAGGCAACCCCGCAGGTGCTACCCCGAGGAGCCTGGACAGGTCCCCCCCAACCAGCCCAGGGCACGGTAACTAACGAGAACGGTGACTACGCCACACTTGTATGTCGTTCAATCAACGCGCTTTATGAAGGGGCCCATCACCGGGGAGAGGAGCTGCGCTCCCGAACACGACGGCAAGGAACAGCAGCAAGCGAAGAACAGTGAGTGAGACGCGCCGGCCGGTCAGAGCAAGATTACGGTGCAAGACAGAGCAGCGCACACTCCGGAGAGTTCAGCCGGAGATCCTGAGGAACACCGAGCAGCCCTGGAAAGGCCTATACAAGCCCCACGTACCAGTCCAGAGCACTGCTATTGAAATAAGGCACATCCCAGCAGCCTGGGGCTATTCTCTACAGCCTGCTGATGAAGGGGAGAGCCTAGAAACGCAGGTTGGGAGCCGTCTGTCTGGCAAGGGCTTGCTCCCCACTCTACTGTCTCCGATTGTCCCGGACTCTGGTATAATTAACTTTGCTGGGTGTAAACCCAAGAAGGTGGCGGGATAGAACTGGTTAGATCAACTGTTCCCCCCTGGTGCCAGGCCGTGAACTGCTGGCTGCCAGGGTGCAGCACACCATCAGGCCATGCCCATGGGGGTGGGGCTGAGGTGGAACAGGGCAGCGCGCAGCCCTTGGTTAGGAGGATGGGGGTATGGGGGAAGCATTGTGGAGTGCACGTGGCCCAGTGTTCCCTGGGCTGTTGGCAGAGGTGGAGGCTGTAGCTGCAGGATGGATGCTGAATTTCACCAGCACTTCTGGAAAGGGCATATGTGGGGTGGAGCCAGAACATAGTACTGGGTGAGAAGGGCAGGGTCATGGGAGGCAAGTTGCGGCTGTCCAGTCATTGTCTGACCCATACACTCTGTCTGGCCTGGCCATGGCCGCAGGCATGTTGGTGGCAGCGTGCGTTGCCGTGGGGAACTTCCCCGCCGTGCGTGCTTCCAGGCTGGGGACCTGCACAAGCCTGGCCACACAGAGTCATCCCCATTGAGGGAGCTGCAGCCCCTCCCTGCTCTGGTCCTGGCCTGATAGGAGTCCACTGTATGGTTGCCACTAATGGTCCTGCTCATGAGATACTTAGCTGCAGGTGTGAAAATAACATACATTTCTTACACTAAGAAATATAAGTGTGAGGAGGCTCAGCATAGGGAATATGGGAGGATGCAGGAGTCAGCATTGGAGTGTATGAGGGGCTTGGGGCTGGAGGGGCAGGCCTCTGGCAGAGAGGGATGAGGTTTTGTGGACCAGCAACATTTTATTTCTATAGTTGCATATTCATTATTTACATAATGAATATTCAAATATGCAAATAAAATTATGCCAGTCCGCCAAAAGTTTGTGAATGGGTTTGCCGATCCGTGGTATAAAAAGATTGGGAGCCACTGATCTAAGGGTATGTCTACACTACCCTCCTAGTTCGAACTAGGAGGGTAATGTAGGCATACCGCACTTGCAAATGAAGCCCGGGATTTGAATTTCCCCCACCCGCCTGCCACAGGGGAGGAAGGGGGGTGCTGTTCATGGAGCTCTGGGGACCAGGGCTTTTGGCAGAGGGCAACAATTTATTTACATATTTGCATATTCATGATTTACCTAATGAAAATGCAGATAAGATGATGCCGGTCTGCCAGAAGTTTGCGAATGGGTTTGCCGGCGCGCAGTATGAGAAAGGCCGGGAGCCACTGGGTTGGATGATCACGTTACAATGTTCGGGTTGGCTAGTTTAAGGTCAGTAGAGCGACCGATTAAGGAATAGACAGAGCGATATTTCTGGGTATTAGGGACAAACAGGAAGCGAGTGGAGAAAAAACAGGAAAACCCCCAAGGGAAAAAGAAAGGAAACTGGAGTCGTGCTGGCTGGACGCCAACCCCAATGAACGTGGAATTGCACCTCCGGACTCGGGTGCGGCCGTTCTCCGCTCCCACGAGAAGCGCCGGGGAGCTGGGGGGTGAAGTCCCGCCCGGATCCAGCAGCTAGGCCTGCACGAGGGGAAGCGGGAAGCGGGCCCCCTGGTGGTACCGAAAGGGACTTCAGCCCTATTGGGGGAGGTTTCTCCCTCCTGCAGCTTGCCCGCGTTTCGCGCCATTAACCAAGTCATCAGCAGCCAGCAGGCGCCACCGTGGGCCGTGCCTGGTTCAGAGGAACAGGGGCCAGCGATGCAGGAACAGGCCACCTCCCAGCACAGCCACACAAAGCGCACCGCTCCCCGAAACCGCCGCCCCTCTGGCTACGGGGGGACCGTGTCAGAAAGGAGAAGCGCGGTGACAGGCGGAGTTCGGATGATCGGCCGCCTGAGCCGCTCAGTCTGTGGGCCAGACTACACAACGCCCTCCCTGGGGCACCTGGCTGATTTGTTCCGGCAAACCTCAAATGCCACGGGGCCAATGCTGAATTTATCCTCCTCGTTTTGCTAGTCCCTGTGACTCCGGTGGGGGTGTCAGGACAGCCAGACCACAGATCACGCCAGGCTCCAGCCGCAGGAGCTGTCAGGGACGTCCCAACCCCTCCCCTGCCCGTGTCAGCCAGGATGCAGGAGCCTTCCCGATCCCAGGGCGGCTGCCAGCAGGGGATACTGGCTGGCTTTCACAGCCCCGTGCAATGAGTTGTAAACTGACACGGTGCTTCCCAGAGCAGTTCCCTGCCCCCACTTACCCAAGCCAACAACAGAGAGTACCCAGGAGGGGTGGAGGAGCAGAGGGCTCTGGGGGCAGCGGCGTATTAAGGAGCGGGGGTGAGGAAGGGGAGAAGGAAAGCAGAAGTCAGGTGCTGCA